AAATCAGGAGTTCAGTGCAGAGCAAATTAGCCATTCACTCCCATATGCACACTATAATAGGCTATGCAACATCTGTCCAAGCATAGCCTGATAAACTGTGCAATCCTAGCATGTTTATGCAGACATGGGTCCTGATTAATTTAATGGGACTCACCCTGTAGTAAGCGTGGTACCACAGCCTAATTCTATGTGCTATGTGTGCAGGTGAGATCTCTAAAAAATGGCTTTTTCATTTCAGGGATTTTTGTGTGTTTCTTAAGGCGATGCAGAGAGAAAGGTTGTTCAGCTTTAAAATACCTATTGGCATAGTGTCTTTATAAATGAGGAGGCAGGAGTTTAATTTTCCCGTGCACTTAATGTCATTCTTCTAAGTGGGCTGAATTGCACAGTAAATTAACTCCATATGGAGGTCTCAAAAGCTGGTAAACAGGTGAGGCACAATAGAAAATGACAAACTAGTTGCTGTTGTTGTTTTAATTGCCCTTTCCCCTCACACTCTGAGCAATCGTGAAAAGAAATGTCACAACATAATTTCGTATTTCAATCTATTCTTATGCAGGAAAGGAGGTGGTGAGGACAAAGAGCACGCAGAACTTCTAGAATTAAGTGCAGCATGTGGCAAGCATGTCTGAAAGCTCTGCCGATCTTTTGTTCTGCAAAAATACCTCCTTTAAAAAATGTTATACATTATCAGTCTGCTTCTTCAGTTGGGGTGCCATCAGATCTGTTTCAAGAACTGAGCTCTCTAGGTTAGGAACAGGGAACATAAAGGTAAAGGTAAAGGTACCCCTGCCCATACGGGCCAGTCTTGACAGACTCTGGGGTTGTGCGCCCATCTCACTCAAGAGGCCGGGGGCCAGCGCTGTCCGCAGACACTTCCGGGTCACGTGGCCAGCGTGACATCGCTGCTCTGGCGAGCCAGAGCCGCACACGGAAACGCTGTTTACCTTCCCGCTGGTAAGCGGTCCCTATTTATCTACTTGCACCCGGGGGTGCTTTTGAACTGCTAGGTTGGCAGGCGCTGGGACCGAACAACGGGAGCGCACCCCGCCGCGGGGATTCGAACCGCCGACCTTTCGATCGGCAAGCCCTAGGCGCTGAGGCTTTTACCCACAGTGCCACCCGCGTCCCAACAGGGAACATACTGACGTCCTAATTTGGTCACCAGCTCCCATCAACCCTGGCTAGCATGGCCAACAGTTAGAGATGATGGGACCAACAAGATCTGAAGGACAACATGCTTCCTATTCCAGTTCTAGGTTTTGGAGCAGACTTGTATATTTACCACCCACAAATACATAAATCTCTTCATGAATATTCTTCTCCCTTTGCCTAAATTTCCATATAAAGTAATAAAATAATTATTAAAATAATTGGCTCTCTCTCTTCCTATACTATAGTGGAGACCTCCATGCATCTTTTTGTTTGTTTGTTTGTTTGTTTGTTTGTTTGTTTGTTTGTTTAGAGCTCCTTTAGCTGGTTACTGGAAAGCTTCAGGTATGGCAGCAGACTGTAGTGTATCATTCTCATGGATAAGGATCAGTAAACTGAAGCTTAATCTAGACAGGATGAAGATGCTAACACTAGGAAGGCCTGTCAACTAAAACTGTAGGGGGTTATGCAGTCACTATCGCTCCCCACCCACATCCTGTCAGGAAAGGTGGGTGAAGCTCACCCTGTATATGCTGTTTTAGAGTCCTGGTATACAGGACTTCATTCGACTCACCCACAAAAAGGATTTGCAGGTAAGAAAACTGGGGTTGCATATCAATGAACTTACCAAATATGGGTGTCAGGAGTATGATTAAAAGATGGAATGTGGAATTGGATTCTGTGAAACTATCTGCAGAACAACAGCATTTTATCCCATAAATACCTGAATTAAAATGGTGATGTGTGTTTATTTAAAAAATTTCAAAGCCTAGACTGCATCAAATGATCTCAGGTTGGGGTACATCCATCAAAACATCAACATAAAAATACTTCAACAAATTTCTAATGATCCCATGAGAGCAATGAAATAATGGAAACACATGTTGGTAGAAGGTTGGGATATTGTTAAGGTCGTGAGAGATTTTAATGTATGTGTTTCACTTCAGAGACCAGAAAGTGTGTAAAACACACACACAAATGTGACAAAAAAAACCCAGGGTAAACTCAGTTTTGCTTTTATTTAGGCTGTGTGTGTGTGTGTGTGTGTGTGTGTGTAATATGCAACAGCATTAATTTGTGCTTAATGGTGTGGGGATGCATGCATACAACAACATACATGTGTGGCACTGCTAACATGCCTTTTAATTTAGCAATAAAGATGAAAAGTGGGTATGGCAGGTAACAAAAATTTAGAAAAAAAATGTTGCTCGGTTCTAGATTAGGTTAGTCAAACTTAGATCCACCTGAAATTAGCATGACAAGTTAATCATGACTTAAATGTAATTGATTTAGTTGGGAGCCAAGTTGAAATCAGTAAGCCTGGATTCAGTCCCGTGAGTGGTCTGGGGAGAGTAGATGTAGATTTATTTGTTTTTGCCCTGGAGTACATGGTCTAAACCAGCAGGTTTCTTCTCGGATCGGTTTTAGTGTCTATAAAAAGACAACAGTGGATGGTGTGGATATCACTGAGTATGGCAATTGGCCAGAATGAGCCATTCATGGGAGTTTGTGTTCTCAGCATGCGTGGAATGTTTTCCTTGTCTGCTAAATGCCACAGTGCTAATGCAATGTTGTGCCTTTTTCTCTTGCACATAGATTGCCAAATAATTCATTTTCATTGCCTGTGGGACGCTCCCAGATATCACATACACACACACACACACACACACACACACACACACACACACACTATCCATGCCAATAATTAGTTACACGTAAATGTGCAGCAACTGCCTACTTAACATTGCACTTTTTTTTGTTCTGTGATTACTGTAAGCAGAACTTCATTTTCCCAATAATTTCTTTGCTCTTAATATTCTGAGAAGGTAAGGGATTATTCAGGCAGGGCTTGAAATAACAGGAAAGCACACCATAGATCATTTTAAATAAATTGTGTTATGAAATACTTACAGTCCAGACTTTGTGTGGGGTGGCGGGGAGGCAGAGGCTAATATATATATATATTTTTCTCCATTGTGAAAACTGCTTCATGCAAACAGTAGCATGAGAGATATAAGAGTCTTGTAAAGGGATAAGAGAGGAGGACCCCTCTTGTAGACATCTATCTTCCATATTATGCATGAGGGTGAAGTCAGCCGACCTTTATGCCACTAATTGTATTTTGTTTTCTGTATATGATATAACATGGCATTCATACACCAGATGAGAAAATGCCAGACGCTTCCACGGTGCACTTCAAACCATGTTATCTTCCTTTTCTTGACTGTGCAGCACAATGCAAAATAGAAAACACAGATAATGCCTGAATTATTGCTGGGGAATTGGAGTAAGGAGGAGGGGAGGAAAGAAAAGGACCTTTTCACTGAATGAAAAAAAGGGGAGACTTGGAAGGAACCTGAAGGTCACTTCATACAATCTCCCGTCCCAGCTCAGGACTTGCCACATCTAATGAAAGCCAACAGCTTAATCCATGCTGCTCGTTGTGTAATGGAAAGCAGCATGAACCTGAAGCATATTGTGCTATAGGCACCTGTCAAAGTACATCCAGAGAACTCTAATTTATGGAACTGGAGGCACTGTTTCCAGTTCCTGAAATCCAGACTGATTGGCATTTGAATCCACCTTGGTTGCTCACCAGTCTACTCACGTGCCCAGGATTGGCACAGGATCATCATGGTCCGCATAGTTGACTCCCTGTGGTGAGCATAAACTGCGGAACAAGCTTCAGGTACACATGGGGAAGCCATGATTGATTCATGTCTTCTTTTTCACATGGCATTTACAGATGACAAACAGTGTAGGGGGGGAAATACCACTAACACATATAGCAGAAATAGACTTGGCATCTAAAAATTAACCAGTGTCTGCCTGTTTCAAATGCATGCTATCTGTCATCACAGCTAAAGATTCTTACATCGCAGGGGGTTGTACTAGATGTTGGGTCCCTTCCAACTCTATCATTCTAAGACTCTATGCATATGAATGTGTTGCAAAGGCTTCAGTGGAAGTCTAGAAGGCTCAGTGTGTCCCAGGAACTTACCTGTTTTTTACAAATATAAACCCAGGAACAACACATTGGACTGTCTTTGAAACTGCAAATAAAAACATTGCTTTGGGATCATTTGAATAGAAAGGTCAAGGATTTCATACAAATTAATCTCTACAGAATAATCAAGAAAGCAGTTTATGTAAATTTCTATGGTTATCTCAATTTGTTTTTGATTTTTTAAGAAACTTGGTTAAATTCAGCTCCTCCCAATCTAATTGCCATTTATCTAATTGTCATTCTAAAGCTCTGTACTTCCTAAAGCAAACAGAAAGAAGCTGTTTTAAAGCCGGCTTCCTCAACCTCAGCCCTCCAGGTGTTTTGAGACTACAATTCCCATCATCCTGACTACTGGTCCTGCTAGCTAGGGATCATGGGAGTTGTAGGCCAAAAACATATGGAGGGCCGAGGTTGAGGAAGCCTGTTTTAAAGGCTACAGAATAAGCTACGGCCAATAAGCATGTCTGCTCATTTCCCCATTCAGTTTAATGGATGTGTACTGTCATATAAGTAGATATAGGATTGCAGCCTTAGGATGTTAAAAGATTAGATCTCTCAAGTTCATCTAAAAATACTTAGGTGATCAGCAAAGGTTACTGCACAACATGAGGCACATTTACATTAGTTATCCTGAAACAATATCATTTTTGAACACTGGAGATTAAATCTAAAATACCAGTGAGCTTCATGAAGTCTGAATGGTGTTTTGTCAAATGTTTGCTTCCATTGCATCATGTAGTTCAGGAGAAGTAAAAACAGAGTAGCTAAACTATAGGTGTTTGAAAGGTGGACAATGTTTTGACTAAACATCTGATCGATGTGTATTTTGGTTCCTTTGCAGTGTCGGCCAAACCAAGGCCTCACAGTGATGAATATACAAAGAAGGTTCCTCCCCCTAAGCCGAAACGGAACCCAAACACTCAGCTAAGTGCATCTTTTGATGAGACATACATCAAAAAACATGGCCCCACAAAGTCAACACTAAGCAGGGATACCTCCTTATCACAGGTCAGCAGTCCTGCTCCAGATACTGAGGAAGAAGAACCGGTTTATATCGAAATGGTTGGAAATATACTTAGAGACTTCAAAAAAGATGAGGAGGATCAAAGTGAGGCAGTATATGAGGAAATGAAATACCCCATCTTTGACGATGGAGGCCAAGATTCAAAATGTCCATGTGAGTATGACCATCACAGCTGTTCTTCTCAGTGTGCTACTCCCACAGTGCCTGACCTTGATTTCACCAAGTCCTCAGTGCCATCCACTCCCAAGGGTGTTCTTTGTGATATACCCCCACCATTTCCAAATTTGCTTTCTCATAGACCTCCACTCCTGGTATTTCCACCTGCACCAGTGCAATGCTCCCCAAATTCTGATGAATCTCCTTTAACACCACTGGAAGTCATAAAGCTTCCTGTGCTAGAAAACGTGTCTTATATCAAGCAGCAAGCTGGAGCTTCTCCATCATCACTGCCACCTCACACTCCAAGTCATCAAAAACTGGAGAAAGACCAGACAGCATCTCATGGAACTAGTACTCCAGGACATTCTTCTTCTCCTCCACATCCTTCTACCTTATACAGAACACAGTCTCCGCATGGCTATCCTAAAAGCCACTCTGCCTCCCCCTCTCCTGTGAATATGGGTCGGTCACTTACCCCCTTAAGTCTCAAAAGACCTCCTCCTTACGATTCTGTACATTCAGGAAGTCTCTCAAGAAGTTCTCCATCAGTGCCTCATTCTACAGCCAGAAACATATTGCAAGAAGGAGGGAAAATGGTAAACACCTCTGTCAATACCTACGGGTCATCATCGCAAAGTAGTTCCCGTTCTAGAACACCTACCAGTCCTCTAGAGGAATTAACCAGCCTTTTTACCTCAGGACGAAGCTTACTGAGGAAATCCTCCAGCGGAAGAAGATCTAAAGAGCCTGCAGAGAGTAAGTGCTTCAAATCATGTATTTACTTATTTTACTCTTTACTGATGATCACTGAGATCAGTGTCATGCCATTGATCAATTTCTAACTGTGCAGTACCTCCATTGATGAACTAGCCTACTGTTGGGATTTCAGGAGTTTGGTGTACTTGGCGCCATGCAACTTACTCATTTGCTTTTTGAGTTCCAGGGTTAGTTTAGGACTATTCATATAAGGCCCTTTTCATATCTGAGTTTGTATTTATTTATTATTGATTGATTGGATTTCTATGCCTCCCTTCATCCAAGGATCACAGGGTGGTTTGCAATACAAAAACACACAAATACTTAGCATATTAGCAAATAAAACAATAACCACCACTGAATGATCATCACAGAGTTTTCCTCTCTCAAAGGTCTCCCTTGTGATTCTAAAATGTTTAATGCAATGAAAACCTTTAATGAAAGCCATGAAGGCTAGACAGCTGTATATTTTTAAAAAGTATTCTTACCAAGTAAAAGAAAATGCTCAGGTCCCAAAATTGCTCTTTGCTGGTTACAGCCTTGTGGTTCTTTATCCTCACACTCAGATTTAGGCAGGAAGAGCTTAATTTTTGTCGGAAGAATCAGAGGGCACAAAACAGGTGGCACAATTGACTTCCGTCCTTCTCGCCACTCACATTATGTTGTCTCTGCTTTGCCTTCAGCATGTCGGAAATGCTTTTGATTCAAGTCCTTGGGAAAATGAATCAAGCGCAGGCAGGGATTGTATTCTAAGCCTTTAGTAGTTTAACGAAGTAAGTGAGCATGATATACTTTCCCCTGCAGGTCCTATAAAACCACTTTATGAGTGAGTCTGAGGTATCTTGAAGCCTGAATAGCCGAGGTGCTTTTATTTGAGAAGGGTTTTATTTTCTAGTCCTGGGGTTTATGTAGCAAGTGGCAATAAATTATGCCTTTGGGGTGGAAGAGCAACACTGAGCACACCCTGGTCTAATGTACTTGATAACTGCATTTATGGTGTTACTTGCAGAAAGAAATGAGCCAGATTGCAGATGTGTGTGAATTGTGTGGATTCACTTTCCTCTCTCCTATAGACAGCACTTCTCTGATCATTGACTGGAATTTGCTTCACTTATATGGAACTTTGGGAGAGTTTAGGAATCTAGGATTGCCTTATACCAGGGCAAACTGTTTGACTATGGAGTCCAGTATTGCCTATTCTGATCGGCAGTGGTTGTCCAGGGTTTCAAACAGAGGCCTATGCCACAATCTACTACCAGATTTGCGTTATCTGGAGATGCCAGGGATTGAACTTGGGATATTCTGAATGCAAAGCATATGCTTACTACTAAACTCTTGTCCTTCACTATCAAAGTATTTGATCTCCCCATTGGGGAATCAAACCCCTTGGTCACTACCATGGCAGAAAAGGATGCTGTCCGCTATGTTAATAAGGTTTTAGTGGCAGCACCATGGGAAATAATCAATTTATTCTTAGGTATGAGAGAGAGAGGACATACAAACTAAGAGAGCCAACTCCTAGGGGGCCGTGGAGGCTTGGAAAAGTGGGACATTCTGGGATCAGATCTATGAATCCGAACTGTCCCTGGAAAATAGGGAAACTTGGAGGGTCTGCTGTATTTGTGTTAGGAAGTAGTGAAGAACAAGCTACCTCAAGACCAAAGCCACAGTTAAACTTTAATTGGTTAGAACTTGGAGCAGTATGAGCAATGATCCAGTTGCAATATGAGAACATTTATCTCATAGTTAGGGTCAACATATTTAGCTGCTACCATGACCAGCACCCTGGGCATGTGGCTGGCAAGCTAGGCCTTGAACTGTGCTGGCCCATATTCAGCTTTTGCAGACTTTTCTGGAATCAGTTGTTTTGTTTTTGTACCTGGAATATCCCTGAGTTGCTGGCAGTACCCTGATATGCAAATGTATCAATTTTTAATATGATTAGTCACTTTCAACTTCCCGTATATGTCACTTGACAGATAATTAAATTCTATAACACCCAAGATTCACTTTTCATCCAGCAAAAAAATTTTGAAACATTGAAGTTATTGAAATCTTCAGATGCCTAACTAAGTCCTCAAATCTTTTGAAAATGTGAGTGCATAATAATCCTTCCCATCCATAGTTGAGGATAATGACATGAATTTTTGCACAGGGAAGGGTTGCAGGCTTTGAGAGACCCCTGCAGGGAAATTAAAGAGAGTTGCATTACAATTATTACTCATCGCAAATTAGGATCTTAGGGATTGTTCAAGAACTGACACAGCACACTAATCATTCTAATGGGTTTTACGGTAAAGTCCGTTTCAAAAAAAAATCTGGTAACAGTAGTATTTGCATAGAAGGGATGATCTGCAAATGTCCTAGGAAGCAAGATGATGCACAAAGGGGTGTGTGTGTGAGAGTGTGTGTGTGTGTGTGTGTGTGTGAGAGAGAGAGAGAGAGAGAGAGAGAGAGAGAGAGAGAGAGAGAAATGTAAATGAACTAGAATTTGAGTTCTCAAGCTATCCCTGATACGTATGGCTATGTATCACCTATTTGAACTGTACTACATGAGTTTGACCAAACTGCGGGAGGCAGTGGAAGACAGGAGTGCCTGGCGTGCTCTGGTCCATGGGGTCACGAAGAGTCGAACATGACTAAACAACAACAAGGCATGTGCAACTGCATGATACATAGACCATACTAGGTGCAAACTAAGAGCACCTATACATTGGCTTTCAATGAAACTTCTGTCAATATAGAGACTGCTAAAGAGAGAACATCAAGCCGGAGTTTCCTGAGGCTGAACAATTCATCAGATGGCATCAGCCCACCCTAATTAATATCAACTGATTAATATTGATTAATATTGAAATTGATATGTTTGTGATGCAATTTGTTCAGCCACAGGTACAGTTGTGTTTGTAGACCTCTCAGCCAAACACATCATCACTGTGGGGAGAATGTGTTCAACTCCCCAATGACAACAGTTGAAGTTGGGAGCTCCCTGGCTATTTAAGGTGGTATTCCATGAAATAGTTGTGCACATGCAAGAACTACCAAGAGCACAACAGGACACACACACCTCCTTTCCCCGCCCCCCACTAACCCTAAGCCTGCTCCAGAAGGTTGAGAGGAAACCCAGGATAGATTTAGGGTGTGCGCAGGTGGAGAACATTCTGTTGACTGATGGAACATTTGCATTAGTGCTACGTTGAATAAAGCCCTAAGACTTCTGTTGCTTGTACAGCACTGAACTAGCTCACTCTGCTTTGTAACTTATTGTAAAAATCTTCAGCTTACTAGGTTGGAGTGTCGTGCCTCTAACAACACCACTTTAGTAGGGGAAAGGGAAGAGAGCTGGGTGACTTGGTTCCTGATCTGATCTGCCTCTTATTGGTTGTTTGACATGAAACAGAGACCTTCCAAGCACCATGCTTCCTGCCTCCTTCTTTGTCCTTCTTTTAATTCTTGAGTGGCCCCCATCCCATCCACAAAGTGGGGATAGATGAAGGAATGCGAATGCACATACAATCAGCATATACACCTGGGTTTACCCAAATGCAGATTGATCATTGTATACATGTTCGTTTTCTTTGTTCATACCTTCAGCCCGTTTAATTAAGCATTCTGATTTAAGCAAGTTCTCAGCAGAAATCCCAGTCTGCATTATAGTGGGAATGAGTCAGAAATAGTCAAGTGGGAAATACTACAAAATGCTAATGATCAACACCACATGCTGGGTAGGCAGATTGCACGATGCTTAAATTGCTGTTGCTGTAATTTGGAAAATAAAGCTGTGCACAGATAAATAGTTGCTCCATGTTCAGTAGTTCACACAACTACTGTATGTACTGTAATGTATGTACAAGTGACTTTAGCCACCAGTTTGTTCAAGTTCCACCATCTATGCTTTGGGTATGAACATGGGTACAGTCATTCAATCTTTCAGCCACACACAAAGTGGATGCACATGAGATCTGTGCAGCCTTCAGTAATGGATACAATATTAATCTGTTTTGGAAAGGCTTCCTCATTGGGAGTCTGATTTTGTGTTTGCTTCTCTTTGATGAATTTAGGATCATCATAAAATAAGACCAATCTGCCTTCATGCTGCAAGAGGACATAGAATCAGTGAAGGGAACCTAATTATGTAACAAATGTAATTTTGGGTTTCTTTTTATTTATTGTTGTTCAAGGCAGCTGCTGTTTGACACTGATGCACACAGACTTTTTTATTTTTCCTCTTTGTTTACTCAACTGCTCAAGCTTGAGTTGCAATTTATCCAACAGATTTCCAGAAGTTACAGTCTCAGCAAGGAATGACTGAAAAGACAACAAATGTCTGCAGTGTGCCAGTGTGAACATGTTGCACGGCTGATTGGCTTTGCTCTGTTCGTGAGAGTTACAAATAGAAGAGGCACACATTCGGGGCCATGGCAAACAATTTGTTTTTAGGAGGAGCTAACTTACTAAGCCAGAACCTGTGTGGCGCTGTGGGTTAAACCACAGAGCCTAGGACTTGCTGATCAGAAGGTCGGCGGTTCGAATCCCTGTGACGGGGTGAGCTCCTGTTGCTCGGTCCCTGCTCCTGCCAACCTAGCAGTTTGAAAGCACGTCAAAGTGCAAGTAGATAAATAGGTACCGCTCCAGCAGGAAGGTAAACGGCATTTCCGTGCGCTGCTCTGGTTCGCCAGAAGCGGCTTAGTCATGCTGGCCACATGACCCAGAAGCTGTACGCCGGCTCTCTCGGCCAATAAAGCGAGATGAGCGCTGCAATCCCAGAGTTGGTCACGACTAGACCTAATGGTCAGGGGTCCCTTGACCTTACCTAACTTACTAAGCAAATGGTACTAGCAACTAAAGCTTGAAAGTGTAAGACACTTGTTGATGTGGATTATAGGATACAGGTGATGTTCAGAGGGAGGGAGTTGTATCATTGATTTCCTCCCTTATCTTTCCTATGTTCCAGCACACACAAACACACCGGGGGGGGGGGGTGCAAACACTTTGTAGAA